CCTCCCAGCCTCTCCAGGACCCCCAGCCCTATTGCGACCTCCAGCACAGCAGAATCCACAAACTTCCCAGGAACCTCAGACTTCCCAGACCTGCACACAGATCGGCTGCTCAGAAACCATTTTTATACCTCTATTCCGACATTCCATCTCTGTGATCAGTTTAGCTGAAAGGGTTTGACAAAATTCATATCAAAAACCACGGATCAGAAGCTCCAAGGGGAAAGTTGAGGTGGAGGCTGCAGAACTGCTCAGGAAGGGCCCCTGAGGGCCCAGGGTGACCAAGTGTGGCTCCTGCAGCTCCACCTGGCTGCTAGAAAAGCCTCGGGTTAATTCTAGTGAGGCAAAGTGCTGTTAATCTGGGTTGTTCCTGCAGGGCTGGTTAACCCCTGCCTCAGCAGCTGCTAAACACAACTGAGGAAAATCTGCTTCTCTCCCCCTGACATCATCACCTTCCCAGCTGGGGCTGCTGCCCCACAGCTTCACCCCCAAGGCAACATCTGGACCCCAGACCCATCCTCCCCACCCTGCCATCCAGGGCCCTGCTGCTGTGGAAGGTTTGTGAGGATGGATTTGGTGTCACTGTCACCCGTTCCCAACTCATCTGTCAGTGCCAGCTTACCCTGACCAAACCCCAGTGTTTTAATGCTGGGCCAGCATCTCCTCCTGCTCAGGAGGCAGTGGGGACCTGGATGCCCAAAGCTGAGCCTCACTCCATCCCCTCCTAATCTGTGCTGCAGAGTTTGTCCCACACAGCAATTTTTCAGAGCCCCAAAAAGTGTCTGTTTTGCCCAAAAAGGGCTTTGGGGATGCTGCACCCAAAGGAACATCCATGCCCAGGCACCCCTGCCTGAGAGTGAGGGGCAAAACCACAAAAGCTCCTCCCAGGGAAGCACTGAGCTCTCCCACAGGGGACAGAGGCACATGTGGTGACACATGTGAGAGGCACAGCTTACCTGCCTGGCTTTGGGGAGATGCCTGGCACTGCCACAGCAAAGCTCCAGCAGCGTGCAGTGGTTTGTCCTCAGTGAGCGTGGATGCTGCTGGATGGGACAGCCACCACCTCCCCTGTGTCCCCCTTGTCACAGCCACCACCTCCCCTGTGTCCCCCTTGTCACAGCCCCCTCACTTCCCTCCCCTCAACCCTCCAAAGTGAGGACCTGCTCCAGTGAGCTGTGACCTGACTGATGCAATGGTGGATATCAAATAAAACCAAATGAAGGCAAATGATCACGCTCCTGATTAATGATTAAGAGGCTGGAATGTCTTGGCCAGCTGCAGCCAGCCGGGCTCCCTCCAGCCAGGAGCAGCCAGGTGGGATCACCTGGAAAATGCAAAGCCTTTGGCTCAAGGTCCCCAAAAAGAGACCAACCACCAACTTGGTGTCCCTCAACAAAGCCCCCAGTGCTTCCCCCTCATGCACAAGGGTCCTGTGGGGCAGTTCCTTGTCAGATAAGAGGGGATGCAAAGCCCTGGGAAGCCACAGTGGGTTGCCACATGTCCTAGTTGGACCCTGGGAGCTGCATCTTCTCCTGGAGACTGGTCCACAGCAATGGCAGTCCCACATCTTTCCTCTTCTTGTGAGGGTGTTGGACAGCATAAAGGTAGGAGGTGTACTGGAGCTCTGGAATGACCATTTTCTGGCAGGTTCTCAGAGTTGTGTTGTCCAAGTCTTGTTTGAGGTTGTAGCCCAGGATATTTGCAGCCCCTGACTGGTAAGGCAGGAGAGCTTTATTCCTGATGTGGTCCTTCCTCACTGCCTCCTGCTCTGACAGACAAGTCTCCATGAGCTCCTTCTGTCTGCTCCGCAGGTGATCCACCTCCTTTTCCAGCACCTCCAGCCCTATAGTCTCCTCAATCCTCCTCCAGAAGCTCTGGTTGAAGTGCAGGTAGAGCTTCCAGTCCAGCGAGCACCAGGCTTTTATCTGCTCCTCGCTTTCTGGAGTCAGCCTCTGGACAGTGTCCTGGCTCCTGGAATTGAGCTTGAAGTAAATCACATCATCCAGGTCCCAGCACAAAGTGTGCTTCAGGAGGATCATGGACTCATCAAAGTAG